TTCTTCACTTTCATAGTGGTAGACATTGTTGTATAGATGAGTGGGTGGAAAGATAGCTGCAGTATTGATTTTGGAACTCTTGATTCGAAGTTGATAGATTTGTGTCTTTTTTTTTTTTTCTGGGTTACTGTAGCAGCACTATGTAAAATGTAAGCCCAGAGGTGGTTTTCATCCTCCGTTGTGTCTGTTTTCCAGTCTTGCTCTCCCATTTTGTTGAGTGTTAGATAACCTTTTCTGCCTGTTAGTAGAAATGCTCCCATTCTTGGAGAAAATTCTTATTTAATTTAGATATATTCTAGTAGGCTCAACCAAAGTTGTTTCTGACTAGGTGGCTGTCAGTATCTTCAGAGAACAAACGGAAAGTAGTTTCTTGCTGAATTTAGATGACGATCGTTTATTTCTGCAGTATGAGAGTTCCCAGCCCTTCATTCGATGATTTATCCTTTGGAGTAATCTATGTTTAGTCTGCTAAAGGATTAAAATGAAAAGCTCTGTCTGTGTGTGAAGGCCAGTTAATTAGTGATGGAGTCTAACAACTTCCTTGAGGAAGGCTGTGTGCCGTCATCTTTGAAGGAAGCTGTTAGCTTCTTAAGGCAAACCTTGCTTATATGTGACAGATCATCAAGCTATTATATCTGCTTATATCTTACATCTGCTCTTCTGGTTTTGGTCACTCCATAGAAGAGCTTTGAGGGAAAACATCTTGAGTAACTTGGATGCCTTGGATTGCCTAGACCCGTATCTTTTGGGATGTAGGCTTGGGCAGAGGACAGAAATGGGATTAGCGATGTTTCAGTGCAAGCAAAGATCAAGTGATTCTTGCTGTATCTGGAAGGCACAACTCAGGCGAAGAGATGGGCCAGGAAGGATTGCAGTTGGCAACATTGGGCCACATTTTCTCTCATTTCCCTTTACTACTGCAACATTTGCTCCTACTTTCCACTTCTCATGTCCACTTCCTTCTGTGTTGTACCATCTTGTACCAAGCCCTGATGCCATCTGTGTTGAGTGTTATTGACCACTTACATCTGAAATAGATGTCAGTGATGTTGCAGATGTTTTGCTATTGATGTAGTAAGGAACCAAGTCTGGAGTTCTGGGCATAGCACTAGGAAACAGGCAGCCTCAAAATAAAATTAGAGTTTTTACTGCAGTCGATGTTCTTGATGTGTCCTGCAATCTTGAGCGCATTGCTGTTTTGTTTAAATGTTTCCTATAGGCAAAATTAGATCAATATTAATTCAGCTATGGTGTAGAATTGCTTGTCTGTCTGTAAGAGTTAATAGGTAAACGTCTTTACAGAGTTTGAGTGTTTTATTTTATGAAAATTCTACTGACTGTTTAAAATCAGACTGAAGTTATCAAATTAGGCATGAGCACCTACGACTGGTATAAATTGTTGAGAATGCTGCCTTTCAGATCACTTTATTCGTGTAATTTTGATGATGCCCTTTTTTACAGAAGTAGTGGAAGTAATTTGTATTTGTTATTATTGGTGATGGTCATCCTGGAAAAACTACAAATTGTGTAATCAATATAGAATTAACACTACAGTTAAGTAAGATGCAGGCCAATATTTTTAATGGAGAAGATAAAATACCTGATTTTAGTGAGAAAAGCTGCATTGGGGATATATGGTGTATTGTTACAACATTTTCCCCTTAATTTACTGATGTAATTATGCTTCATTATAGGTTTAAATTTATATTACCTTTCAGAATTCTGTCTTGGTTTTTATTATGGCATCCAAGGATACAGAATTTAACATGCAAGACACTCACTCAGGAGTTTCCTAACATTTTGAGTGCATGTGGATTCACTCTTAAATGTAAATCCATCATGTATTAGAAACTGAAAGAAAACTTCCGAGTGGAGAGTGTTCCACCAAACCCTCTACCAGTGTGTCCATTGCATTGCCGAATCAATGCAAGGGATGGGAACAATCATTGCTCCCTGACTACGTCCCTTTGAATGATTCAACCTTTCAAGGAAATAATGCTTTTAAAGCATCTCTGCCTTTCCTCCTGAAACCATCAGTTTGGGAGTGATCAAATACAACTGAAATGTACAGCTAGATGATTATCATTGTTGTTATTATTATTATTAGTAGTAGTATTTAGCTGTTAGCATGGTAACTCAAACAGTGTGTAAAAGGGTACAGAGATGTTTGGTTTGAATTGGTTTATTTGCTGTATTTTTCCAAGTGTCCATCAAAACCCGTTGAAAAGAATGCTGTTACTTCCTGCATAGATTGTGTCTAGTGGAACGAAGGTCTTGTCCTACAAATTTTCTTCCTTCGTAATACATTTTGGGCTTGTCTTCATTGGAAAATTGTGCATTGGGAAATTGTGTTGAGTTATAATGTTATCTCAAAGACTCATAATAACTACTAGTGTTGAACCTGACTCCACGAGCAGCTCAGACAAGGGTGAATGATGTTGCTGTGTCGTCTGCACAGAGATAAACCTCACGCAAACCTCACAGGGGCTGTCTGAGACTAGCAGGTTCTGTGCTAAACGTGACACAGTCTCTTCATGTTGTCCATTGATTATAGTTATACTGGTTTTTAAGTGCTGTGCTTCTCTGAAAGACTAAGATAGGCAATGTTCTTGTTCTTTTGAATGAATGACAGTATACATTCAAAAATGTCCTTAAAAGTTACCTGTTACACTTGTGGATTTGTTTAACTCTGCTCAGCTGTGGCAATGAATAATATTTCTGTTCAGTAAGCAAGAAACTGTAAAAATATTTCTGTCTCTTGCAGTTTCTCTTAAGCTTTTTTAGAAATTCACGTTTCAGTGATCTTTGTGACTGAGGATGACATAGGGGAAATATGAAAATACTATTTTCTGATGAAGCAAGCTAGCTGAAATGTGAAGATTGTGAAGTTCACAAACTAGATAAGAGCATAGTCGCAATCTCCTATGTGGTCTAGAACTGCGAAGTCTTTATTTCTGGTCGTCTTCCCTTTGATATGGACCGTAGATGCTGGTTTTCTCCCTTTCTGGAACTTAGGATACTGCCTATGAACAAGGTGCAGATAATGGATTTTAAATACCAGTCGCTAACATACTGAGTACCATATTAGAGTTAAGACAAGAACTGCAAATATACAATAATAAAAATCTATACTTTTGGCATAACAAAAGCACAGCTTAAAACGTGCCAATATTTAATGATCAGGCCAGTCTTTGGCCTTCCAGTTTGAGTGGTGATCTTGCAGATGATGATGATGAGCATACTGTTAACAAGACATGGATCTTTGTTGCTTATAATTTCAATGTAGATACTGAGGTGTGTGATTCATCACCGCCCATACTATTCCAGGGGTGTTTAGATGAGATGTGAGAGACTGCTTAGCCAGTGCAAGTTTGTCCCTTTTGTGTGCTTCACTTCCTCATTTTCCTTGTGTAAGCAGAAAAGTAGGGTACAGGTAAGGAAAGCCTTTCTGAAAGTTTATAATAGAGGAAGCTTCAGTTCCAGAATAATTTTTTTTTATTTTATTTTTAATAGTTTTTTAAGCCCATGTGCTCTTAAGTTCTATTAAACAAGTCGTAGTAATAACGCTTTAGGTACAAACAGTTTTGTTTCATTGTCTAGAGGAAGCTCTGTGTCTTTGGTTTTCTTTGCCATCAAGAATGAGAAAAGAGCCTGTAAGAATTTTGGAGCAGAAGTAGTGTTTTTGCTGATGGATTAAAAAATGATCATTTATGTGTTTTGTGAATAAAAAAGTATATGAAAAATATTTATTGAATTTCCCATTGCAACTGCTAACCTTTTGTCCTTATAAATACCGCACTTGGCAAGTAGGAATGAAATCAATTTGCCTAAACATTGCGTGGTATTTCCTGTCCAGTGTCCCTGTGCTGCTCCACAGTGGGTACAATTCTGCCCACAGTCTTGCCTGTCATTTTTCTGCTCAGTGTCATTCTCTGGGGTGCCCAGGACAGCAAACAAGACTGGGCTCCCTGACCTCGGTGCTCGAATCCTACCCTAAGTGAAACTGATTCTGAGCTCTGTCATGATACGAGCAGAAATGTATTTGGAGGCTTTTAGTTTCAACCTGTCATTGGATTTCAGGGGAACTAACACGATGAGTCTTAGCTTCGTTCTCAATTCTTCTGTAAATTTAAATCTGTTGCCTTTTAGTTGCATTTCAGCTGTCCTAATTTTATGCAGTTGGCCTGAGAGGCAAACCAGTCCAGTTTACAATCACATTTTTTTCTTCTCCAAGATACAGTTGTGACTTAGCATTTTTGGTGTTTGTTGTTTTTTTTTTTTTTTCTGGTACAGTGCCATCATGAACAGAGGCATGTGTAGAAAGGATGTAAAGCTAAAGCAATAGAATCAGAGCCATCTTCACCTATCATGGGAATATGAAAACAAGTTACAATGGGAGGAGGTGCAGGCTTTCGTATCTCTGTTTTTGTGGAGGTAGCTGAGTGACTGGAAAGTAATGGAGCAATAGGTATTAGCTGAGTCCCTAGACAGTGCAGGTCCTAAGAAAGGGAGGAAAATGTTGGCAGATGGAGCAGGTTGGTGCAGTCGGAAGAGATGTGCGTGATCTGTCCTTCTAGGACTTCTGTTCTGCTGCTGCTTGCAGGGGTCTGCACGACCTGGAATCAAAAGCAACCTAGCAGTTGGTTGTGACTTGAATGATCACTGTATTGTTCTATAGTTGTGCTAATTTTGTTACTGATCCCTGAGTCATCCTTTCTGAAATAGCAGAAACTACTGTATATGGTGCAGCAAATTAGTTTCTCTAAATTAATAGAAAAGATTAGATACCCTGGTCTATTTGAGTATCTAGAGTACAAAATTACTCAGTCCTTGAAGAATCAAAAGCCATGCACCAAAAACATTGCATGTAACCCATTATTTTGATATGTTCTTCTGTAACAGTGCTTTCTGATCCACTTTCTACTAGTCATATAAATAACATTGATTATAAAGTAATACTTCAATAAAAAATAATTTTTTAATTTCTGCTTTTCTTTCAGGGCAATTAAAGCATTTCAGGAGGCGCTTTATGTTGATCCCAGCTTTTGTCGAGCCAAGGAAATTCATTTGCGACTTGGGCTTATGTTCAAAGTGAACACAGACTATGAGTCTAGTTTAAAGGTAGGTTTAAGTCCTTTCAAATTGTATTAACATTTGTTACACGTTGTGTTACGTCTTAAAACTGCAAGGAGTACCTAAGCATATAGCAGTTAAATACTACCTGCTTTAGAAATAGAAGTGCATCAGTATGAAGTATCTTGGTCTCAAGACAGAATAAGGGTAGGATTTGAAGTGTGTTAGGTGCTAGAAATACTCAGAAAAGCCCAGCAGAACTATAGATGAGCACTGGTACTCCAGCAGATCAAAAATTTGGTATAGAGCTCTCGTTAAAGTAGTACATTTTGGGGGGAGGCTGAGAACGTACAGAAGGCTAGAGGGAAAAAAGATAAGAATTAGGACCTTGGATTTCTCAGTGTTTTCTCTCTCTCTCTCTCTCTCTCTCTCTCTCCCCACCCCCGCTTCCCCCACTCCACTCCCGCTGCACTATTGTAAACTGGACGTTTGTAAAAATCATTAAAAATAGAGCGCTTTTATGCAAAATAACATTCTCATACCATTTTTTTTTTTATATAATTTCTACTTTTCTAGCAGTTAATCATTCTTTTGTTTCCTGTTTTGAGAGTCAGCTTCTAAGGCAACGATTTCTGGCTAATCAGTTAAAAATTATTTGTGTTAATGCAGTACTTTGTTTCTTCTGTACTCCTTTAAATTTGTTTACTGCTTGCATTCTTTTTTGGTCTCTGATTGTAGTCTGTCATTTTATCTTCCTCCATTCAACATGTTTCCCCATTTTTTTTCGTCTTTCCGTTTTCTACTCTATCCCCATGTTCGTTCTTTCCTGATCTCTAAATATAAGTATCTGTGTCTTGGAAAAAGGAAGTGTTCTTCAACAAAGTTTCATTGCTTGGAAATACACCTTCAGGGCTGAGAATTCTGTAATTTCTAATTAAGTGTAATTTATAAACATGTTTCTACACATTAATCTCTCCTAAAACTACTTAGAATATTAACTGTTTTGTTTGCAAGCATCTTGTGGCTTCCTTTTCCTGGCAGATTGTTTTCCTGGAAGTTGTATTTGTGAGGTTATCAGAATTGTCGTCCAAGATTTGAAATAGTAGAGTGTTAATCTCAATTTTTCCTTTCAGTATTTGTAATGATGGGATGCACTTTTCCTATGGGAAGCACAGATTTATTATCCGTTGGTGTGATACATAGGGAATAAAAAGTGCTGAAGTAGTATATTTTTGGTTTTGTTTTTAAAGACAGTAGTGGAAAGAACTTGTGCATTTTAATTTTTAATAGAAGAAATTGATCAAGAAATAAATAAACTTTTCCTGCTGTGTCATGAAATATGTAATTCTATCACTGAATCAAGTATTTAAATAGATATTACGAAAATTCAATCTGAATAATTTACTGTGTTTGATCTTCACATTTTCACAAAATAAAAAGGTCACTTATCACAAGGATTTTGAGTATACCAAACTTTTACTTTTCAATACATCAACTGCGAATGGGAAAAACAGCAAAGACTTATTTTAAAAACAGAAATAAATTAATCTTTTGTAATGCAAAATGATCATGATTCTGTTGCTTTTATGTGCAGTGTAGTTAAGTCACTTAAGAAAACAAATGATGGCAGCAAAACCAGCTTAGCCTGGAGCAGAGTGAAGATCTTCAAAAGGATGATGAAATGAACATGATGGGGGGGGTCGTTGCATGAAGGATAGTTTCACATTGTCCTCAAATCCATATAACTGCAGGTTGTTGCTAAAAGGTTGTCTGATTTTCCACCTAGCAATCCTGATTGCATTATGTGGCACCCTCTGCTGCATTGAGTTGAGTGATTTTTTTTTTTTTTTTTTTTTTTTCTCATTTGCAGACTGAGGTGGTTTGGAAGTCTGAACCAGCTCAGTTTGAGATTACCCCGTTGCTAGATCCTGTGCAAGGTAGATGGCAGGAGTATGTGAGTGGGAAGGAGGGGGCAGTATTCCCTTCTTGTGCAAAACATAACACGAAACTCTACTCTGGAATTATCTACTGAAACACCTAAGGTAGAGTTTCTGGTTTGCTTCCTTTGCTATGGAGGTTACAATCCTTAGCAGAGAATAATGGTGAGGACCAAGAAAGAACAGACCCAGTGGGGCAAATCGCTCCGTCTTAAACAATTTCAGCTGTTCTCAGTTTAGCTCAGCCGTTGATTTAGTGTAGAGTCCTCAGACTGATCTACTTTGTTTGAAAACAAAGTGTTACTCATTGAAACATACCAGTTTATACATCAGAATATATCGATTGAGGAGTAGGCTAAGTGAAGAAGCAGGTCAGTAGCTTCTTTAAAAGCTAATCTGACTGATCCAGGAGTTGAAATTTAAAAAAACCTCTTAAGCCAGAACTCTTGAGTGACAAGAATATGAGAGGCAAGTCAGAAAATACTTCCTTAGTGAAGAGAACAAAACGAAGTGCTGGGGCAGTGGTTATGCTCAAGCATGGGGAGAACAAAATGAGGAAGAGATATGATGATAGAGTGTGACGGTGTTTTCACAGAATGTCTGTCTCGCTCTGTGAGACTGAATGTCTCGTCTCTTCACAAAAGAAAGATAAGTAACCCAAAATAATGAAAGACACAGTTGTGCCTTTTTTTTTTTTTTTTTTGGTTTTGTGGACCTTTTCAAAAGGATCCAGGTTTTTAAAGGATGGTTATGGAGTTTAGGATCCAGCCTGCTAGTGACTGGCCTTGAGCACAGACGCTTTCCCCAGGGCTCTGTCTAATGTAATTCGTAGCCCAGTTTGAGCTTCCTATTTAACATTGAGGGAGAAAGTGGAAGTAACTTTTCATCTGGTATTCGCTTGTGACTGTTCTGGATTTCACAGATTGTACCAACGTTACATTAATGTGCTTTGAAATATCATAATATTTTTGATGGTATTTAAACATTCATGTTAAGTCTGTAATTGCTAAGAATAAACCATTGCCAACAGATGAGTCATTGTCAGTAAGAGTCTTAAGGCAGAGGGGGAAGATGGAAGTCTGAAGGTCATACATTTCATGTTTTTTCACAGTTTTAGACCATTAACATAAATCATCTATATTTTATGTAAGCAATTTAAGCACAAAATTAATTTTTACTATTTTAAGATGTTGATGATCAAGATAATTACTGGAGTGCTGTTTAACAAGCATAAAAATCAACTCTCAATGTTTTTTTCAAAATCAATTACTGCTTTTGCATGTTTTTAACATTGCTGCAGTTAAGACTTGCAAATTAGTATGAGAACCCTTGACTGCTCCGTTATCCCATTGCCATAAACTCTGGCAAGAACACCAGTGCTGTTGAAAATTGCTTGGCCTTCAGGTTTACATTAAAGAAAAAGAAAAGTGGCCCTTCTGGTTGAAAAGAAAACAGTCCTTGTGTAAGCTGACAGTTAGGGCTGTGTTACCTTCAGAGATGATGCATGGAAGCTGAAATTGCCCCTTTCATCAGAAAAGTACAATTAATTCCAAAATCAACTGTCAATGACTTGGGGAAGGAGGGCATATTTTATTATTGATTACTGTAGCAGCAGCATACAATTAAGGTTTACGTCACAGTCCTAACCTTTTCACACTTCACTACGTGTCCTGCTGCCCCCTTTCTGCTTGCCATTTCCTACAAACAATACTAGGAATACTGTGTTTGATGGTGTTAGCTGTGGTGGCACCATGATGATCTGAAAAGAGAATAAAGCAAGATCTCTAGGAATATAATATATCTTTTTATTGTTTTGGTAAATATAGTTGGAAAATATGTTTAAGCTTCTGACTATGTGCTACATTATTTCTGGCATGTCACTTGCTATCCTAGTGATTCTCCTATTTATTGAATACATTTTTTCAGTTTTAGTCTCCTTTTTTCATGCATGTATGTAATCATCCTGTCTCGTGCATGCGTCTCAGTTCTTCTCTTCAGTACTTTTGAATCTTAACCAGTTCCTAGCAAATATGTCAGAAATAATGAAACATCAAAGAGAAGTTCCTAGAATGTTCCTGCACAACATGTTTCCCCAGAGCTGTTTTGAGCTCTGCAAGCTGTGAGGACAAGGTGATCTGGTTGGCTTGATCTGCAACAGAGGCACCAAATCACTGGTCACGGGTCTGGTCTGTTGGGACATGAAAAATTGCTATGAAGGGAACTGTCCCATCCACACAGGAGTTGCTATACGTTGGGCAACCCCATGCCTCTTGTCCAGCCAGAAGCTGAATGCAGAGTTGCGTAGAACATGAAGAGGGAGCTGTGTTGTGTGGGACCACTGACATGCATAAAAGGGAAGCTGAGGAAAAAAAAGAAAAATTACAGCTTTTTTATTATTTAGTTTAATAGTTGGGTTGCATTGGAAATGACAGGTACGCAAAACCAGTCTTCCATCTGGTGCTCATTCTGTTTGGCGGCATTGAAGTATCATCATGTGCTTTCGGTGGTGAGTTAGGGCTGCAATCCTGAAAGCCTTTTGAATGTAAAATTCAGTTCACTCCATTGTTTGCTGATAGACTACTTAAGGGGGAAAAAAAAAAAATCTCAGTTTTTCATTTTTATTAGAATGATAACATTGAGGGAACAGTGGGTGGGTGGGACATTTTCTGTGGGTTTGGTTTTCTGAGGGGCTGTCTGATTGGGGGGTTGGAAGTAGATGATCTTTGAGGTCCCTTCCAACCCAAACCATTTTATGATTCTGTGATTTTGTTTGAGGTTTTTTTGGTGGTGAATTGC